GAAAGAGAGCATTTCTCCCAGAGAAGGTTCATCTCAGAAGGGAACTTGCGAAGAGCTTACTTTTTGGTTTTAGGGTATTTCAGCTTTAGTGGAATACTTAAGACCCAGACTTTCAAAAAAATTAGCCTGTTTTGTTTTCTGAGTAAAAAAGCAAAACAACAACAAAAAAACCCCAAGAATTATAGACAATGTGAAAAAAATAAAATTCATATTATTACATCATATTATTACATCATTACATATTATTTATACATGAAGCAGTGTTGTTTAAATGCTGAGCACTAACTATGCTGAGTGTTATGCATGGATCAACTTATTTAACCCTTTCAGCCACCTCAGAAGTCAAGTAATATTATTATCCACATTTTTATAGCTGAGAGACTGGGCACAGGGGGGTTAAGTAATGTGCAGGAGGCTGCCCAGAGGGAGTAGGAAGTAGATGTGGAATGTGGATACACGCAAGCAGTCTGATGCCAGATCTCAGGCTCTTCAACACCCTCCTGGGTTATATTTCTATGTAACCATTCAATAGCTATCATAGCAGTGACTGTACATATGAAATCTGACAACTAAGTTTGTGAACTTGTTGCAAAGATGTTGCTAACCTTATTTGATATCAGAGGGATTATTCATTATGAATTTGTACCAACTGAACAAACAGTTAACCAAGTTTACTATTTCGAGGTGCTGAAAAGGGTGTGTGAAAAAGTTAGACAACCTGAACTTTTCATCAACAATTCATGGCAAGCATCACAACAATGCACCAGCTCACACAGCACTGTCTGTGAGGGAGTTTTTGGCCAATAAACAAAAAACCATATTGGAACACCCTCCCTACTCACCTGATCTGGCCCCCAATGACTTCTTTCTTTACCCGAAGATAAAGGAAATATTGAAAGGAAGACATTTTGGTGACATTCAGGACATCAAGGGTAATATGATGACAGCTCTGATGGCCATTCCAGAAAAAGGGTTACAAAATTGCTTTGAAGGGTGGACTGGGCAC